AGTGGGATAGTAAACTGATTAAGGAGGTGTAAAAATATTTTCCTGTTGCAATAAGATCCCAGTTGAAATTGTATAATATACATTTATGATGAATCCAGGCAGCGTGGTTTCATGCCTTTCTCCAGCTGTCTTGGTCCCTTTCAATGCTAGAACCTTTCTTATGAGATCATCTCTACATACTCTTTATATATCTCGTAAGTAACATAGTTGTTTGCATGCTGTCTCCCCCATTAGAATGGAAGGCTACTTGAGGGTAGGGATTGTTTTAGTCTTTCTTTGTACTCCCAGTAGCAGTGTCTGCCACATAATAAATGCTCACTGACTTGTTGACTGTCATTCAATGTGTTAGCTATCCCTTCCAGTTTTGAGTCATCACTGTCAAATCTGAAAAGTATGCCATATGTGCTTTATCCACATGGTTAATTAAAATGTTAAATAGTGTAGTGTCAAGCAGCAATCCTTGGTCCCTAACATCATTAGGGACCTGCTTTGATGGTGTCTAGAAGTATTAATTATTATCCCTTGAGTTTAGCCACTTTTTCAGTTCTGAATTTATATAATCATATTATTATGTAGCTTACCCCTCTCCGTTTTCTTTTCTAAGAATGGCGTAAAAGGTTTTGTCACTTGCATTGCTACAATATAGGTAAGCAAGAGCTATTACATTTTTTCTGATCCATCAATTTAGTAAGCTAGTAAAAAAGTACACAAAATTCATCTGACACGATGTGGTCCTGATGAAGCTGTTCTGTGACTACAACTTCTTTTCCTGGATATTCACTCACTATCCTTTTAATAAGACATTGTAGAATTTTGTCAGACATATTGAATTACATTTACTGGCATCAAGTTTGCAAACTCCATTCTCTTCCTTAAAAAAAAATTAGGACATTCACCCTGCTCAAATCCCATAGTACTCTCAAGTTCTCTACAGTTTTTCAAAGATCATTCCATGCCTTTGGCACAGCAATCAGATCTACCAGGTTTTTCAGTAAATAAGGATATGCTTGATTTGGGCAAGATGGTTTCATCTCACCAAGGGCAGATAGTTGCTCCTTTACTATAGAACCTTATTCATCTTGGCTATAACTGCCCATTAGCCATTTTTATTCTGTCTTTTCCAGTACAATGATTATTCTTCCTGATAGGAAAATAGTCAAATAAAAATTAAGTATCTCTGTCTTATTTGTGTCATTAATGTTCACTATTCCACCAATCATTCAACCAACTAATATATATTAGGTGATATGGTATATAAACACAAGAATCAAACAATCTCTGCTCTCAGGGATCTTAGATTCAATCCACTTCGAACAGTGTTTCTGTTTCATCTTTGATCTCTTGGTTCCTTAGTATAACTTGGTTAAAAAAAAAAGCCCTACAGATATAACTTAATATTTGGGGAAAATGTTACTTACATATATTAATTGCCAAAGGTCACACATCACAACAGTCTTTTTTTTTTTTTTTGGTAACCCAGAGCTCTTGTTTCCCCATCTGACATTACTGTTACTATATAACACCCTCCTTGTTTTGGGATATGTTTTCCAAGCTTGAATTAATCTTTATATGTTGTTATTATGATTCAGACTCACATTTAATTAGTTGACCTATGGCCTCCTTATTTCTCTTTTTTTGACATTAGAGTTTTGGGGAAATTTCTTGTCAACACTTATTTCCTGGTGATTCATTTTCTCTCCCTCATAAACTTACATGCATTTGTCACCCAACTCAACTGTCATTTAACCTTCTAATAAATTTCAAGCATTGCAATTAATTAGATCTACCATAGTTATTGTTTAATCTCTTCTGGTGTTTCAAAACTGACAACATAACTACAGATTTGATATTGGGATGATTTACTTTCTCTGAAACATGACAAATTTATTAAATGAAATAATATTCCATACTGTGTGACACCTCGCAGGACACTTTATTCCATAATGTAGGAATTCATTAGATACTAGGGGCACATAGATGTCTCTGAGATCTCCGAGATTTAACCTCTCCCTGGGAAATTCTAATGAGGTGAATTTCATTCAGGCAAAGTTGAAAACATTCTTCAGTTAATTTTGCTTCAGTGGCTACTAGTATAGCTATTATAGCTTTGCAAATATCTTTAAGTATGTGATTAAATGGCTTTAAAAAGATTATGTCACAAATTTAAAAAAAAACACCTTAAATTCTCTGAGGAAAATGTTACAGTGTCATTCAACAGATATAGAGCTAGAAGGTATCTTAGAGAATATTAAGTCTAACACCATCATCTTACAGATATGGAAACTAAGGTTAAATGGATTACTTAAGGTCATACAGGTAGTAAGTTTCAGAGGTGGGATTATTGAGGTAAAACAAGAGATCTGCTAAACACTCTAATATTCAAAGGTAATTAGATTATAGAGATGGAATTGCATGATGATAATTTTATAGGGAATCACATACGGACATACAGAAACAGACATGCACACACACACACACACACACACACACACACACACACACATATATATATATATATATATATATATATATATATATATATATATATATCTGAAGCCCTAAGTATAGGAATTTGTCCATTAGCTTTCTTTTCAGTACCAAATCTTGCTTATCCTGTTTATAATTGCCCTGTAGTCACCCCAAAATCCATATTTAAAGAATGGGGTTCCCTTCTTCTCTGCAGTGTTTTGTGCAGGAAATGATGTTAGCAAACTTGAGAGGCAGACAATGAAGAGGACGGTTGTATAATGGGAGGCTTTAATTAAGAAACTCAATCCATAAGTAGGAGGGGAGGAGATTAAGTAAAGGTGGGGGTGAGGGGACTAACAGAAGAGAAGGCAGATTGGGGGAGGCAGTAGAGAGAAGCAAAACACTAAAAGGAGACAGGAGGAAAAATAAGATGGAGGGAAACACACAGCTAGCAATCATAACTGTGAATGTGAATGAGATGAACTATCCCATAAAATGGAAAAGGATAGCAACATGGATCAAAAAACAGAATCCTACAATATGTTTTTTACAAGAAACACACTTGAAGCAGAGACACACACACAGAGCAAAGGTAAGAGGCTGTAACAGAATCTATTATGCTTCAGCTGAAGTAACAAAAGAAGAAGAAGAGGAAAAAGAAGAAGAAGAAGAAGAAGAAGAAGAAGAAGAAGAAGAAGAAGAAGAAGAAGAAGAAAAGGGGTAGCAATCCAGATCTCAAAGGAAAAGCAAAAATAAACCTAATTTTAAAAAAAGATAAGGGATAAAACTACATCTTGCTAAAAGGTACCATAGAACAATGAAGTAATATCAATACTAAACATATATGCACCAAGTGTATAGCATCCAAATACTTAAAGGAATAGTTAAGTGAGTTATAGGTTCATGAGAAAACAAGCAATAGAAAACATTATGCAGTATAAAATAGATAATTTTGATTATATTAAATTAAAAAGCTTTTACACAAAGAAAACAAGTACAACAAAGATTAGAAGGAAAGCAGAAAGCTGGGAAAAATCTTTACAGCAAGTGTTTCTGATAAGGGTCTCATTTCTCAAATATATAGACAAGTGAGTCAAATTTATAAGAATACAAGCTATTATGTAATTGATAAATGGCCAAAGGATATGAACTAGAAGTTTTCTGACCAAGAAATCAAAGCTATCTATACACATATGAAGAAGTACTCTAAATCACTTTAGATTAGGGATGTGAAAATTAAAACAACTCTGAGGTACCATTTCACACCTATAGTGCAATTGTGAACTGATCCAAACATTCTGGAGAGCAATTTGGAACTATGCCCAAAGGGCTACAAAAATGTGCATACCCTTTGATCCAGCAATACCACTAGTAGTACTGTATCCCAAAGAGATCATAAAAAAAGGGAAAAGGACCTACATGTGCAAAAATATTTATTGCATCTCTTTTCGAATGGTGAGAAAAATTGGAAATTGAGGGGTTGCTCATCAAGTGGGGAACAGCTGTGGTATATGAATGTAATGGAATATTATTGTGCAATAAAAAATTTCAAACAGGCAGATTTCAGAAAAACCTGGAAAGATTTGTACAAACTGATGCAAAGTGAAATGAGCAGAATCAGAAAAAAAACCCACAATATTATACACAGTATCAGCAACATCATGAAATGATCAACTAGGCTCTTCTCAGCAGCACAATATTCCAAGACAAGTACAAAGGATTCATGAAGGAAAATGCTATCCACACCTGAATAAAGAATTGATAAACTTTGAATACAGATCTAAGTGTACTTCTTTCACTTACTTTATTCTTTTTCATGTTTTTTTCCTTTTTGATCTGTTTCTTCTTTCATAACTATAACTAACATGAAAACATTCTTTCTATGATAACACATGTAATAAAATTGTCTACTATTCTTGTAAGAGGGGAAGGAGGGAGGGAGAGAGGGAGAAAAATTTGGATCTTAAAGTCTGATAAAAATGAACATAAAAATGGTCTTGACATATAATCGGGAAAAAATTAAAACACTATTAAAATAAATTTGCAAATTGAAAAAAAAGCCTCAATTCATACCTAAAATAAGTTCCTTGGTGGGCTAGTGAACTTTTAAGTCCTGGTGTTATCATCATCACCATCACCACCACCATCATCATCATCATCATCATTATCATCATCATCATCATCATCATCACCACCACAGTAACAGTAACAACAACATACAGGACTTGTATAAGTATTTAAAGTTTGCAAATCACTTTTCATATGTTTATCTAACTTGGCATAAAGATAGCCTAATAAAAATGAAATCAAGATAATGTGAAACTGTATATTTAATTGTTCTATTCCTTAGGGAAAAGCAGAACTCCACACTTTTCACATGCCCGAGGCTCATGAAAAAGGTGTGTGAGTAATTTCTACAGCAAAGACAATGTTTCCCACCCACATTGCTGGAATAGACTCACACTGATATGGAACTAAGTAAGGTTCAATTTGATGTTATTCTTGGAAATAAGCACAAGAGAAATACATACGGGATTCAGAAGGATAGTGAGAAAAAGTTCTCCTCCTTGGATACTTTTGTCTAGTTCTTGAGGCCCTCCTGGGTACTCCTTATAGAAAATTGTGTGGGTAAATAATCCACACGTCTGTCGAGGGAGCACCTAAGGAAGAAGAAAAAATATGGAACGCTGAAGGGTTTTGCTTAGCTCTGCCACCACTGTCCCATTTCTTTGGAGACTGCACGCTGAACCTTCACCATGAGAATTTCTGGGTTGTTACAGCTTTGGTATTATTCTAAAAACAAGTTGATTTAGGAAATGGTTATGCAGCTGTTGGATAGCAGCAGATGCCAACTGTAGGGCACTAGTTTGTAAAATCTTCACTCATATCATTCTAACCAATTTCACACAGCAGCAACATTTTTACGGGATTATGAAAACAGCTCTTAACTTTAACAACATTAGTTTATTAAAACATAGAGCTCCTTAGAAGTAGCATATTTTCCTTCTACTAAGCTATTAATTCCCTTATTTCTGAGATATATCCTTGAACTGTATTTAGTTTCAAGCATCCAAAAAAAAATCATTATTTCTTTCACCTTGGAATTAAAATATGACTCCAGGAATGAAATATATATTAAGCCTGAAATGATTATGGATCTCTATATTCTTTGGTGAACTCCTTTGCATGAATAAAGATTAATAGGAGAAAAAAATTAATGATCTTCTATGTCAAGTTCTCCAAAACATTTATTATTTCTGCAATAACAGTCATCCAATTGTACTCTGTAATTCTTTTAATTGCCAGAAGAGTTTAGTCTTTTGCATTAAATTCAAAGCAAAGACAACCTTATACTGGTTTGGTAATTCAGTTCTATTTTTTATTTTGATGGTCATTTTATAGCTAGTCAGGAGCAGCTAAATGGTGTAGATAGAGTGCTGGCCATGAAGTCAGGAGGACCAGCCTCAGACACTTACTAGCTGTGTGACCCTGGGCAAGTCACTTAATCTTCTTTGCCTCAGTTCCTCATCTGTAAAATGAGTTGGAGAAGGAAATGGCAAAGAAAAACGCACCCCCTCAAAATCCCAGAATGGATTCAGATAGTCAGATGTGACTGAAACAACTCAGCAACAAATAATAGCTAGTCATGTGTGCAATGGATTACATGGAAAAACAAAAGATTTTCTGAACATTTATTGAAAAAAGTGACTTAGGTAATTGCCCAGGGATGGCTGACTCATACCATAGAAGTACATGTATATCTTTTAAAATTATTCCAAATATATTTTTACATATAAACTGGATTATTAAAGACATATACTATTATATTCTTTACCAGAGCCTGCATTTAAATTCAAAGCCTCCTCTGCTCCTCTACAAGTTATTTGTAATTCAGTAAATAATGTGTTAACAACACATTAACAACAACAAATATTTCCCAAATGTCTTATGTTGTGAGTAATGTAGGATTTAACTTGAGAAGACTTAACTATATCTGAATGAATATATTCTCAGAGTGATTAAGTGTATTTTGTAAAATCACTTTAGAAAACAATCAAATGAAAAGCATCTCTAGAAGACAAGTATACCTTTCATTATTCAAATTTTCATATCAAATTTCTGTTCTATGTAAAGGATTCGGTCATTTAAAACTTGGCTTCATGAAATGATATTTGAAGTTATCACTATAGGTTACCTTGGTGGTTAGATAAGAAGCCTCAGCTATTACTTATAAGTTTAAGAAATGCAGGTGTGAGAAGAGAAGGTATGGAGCTGTTCCACATCTCTCCTCCAGAATATCCTTCTTAGGCTTTGAAGAAAAAGAGGCATGAAATTTTATATTTCCTAGGTAGAGATGTATGTTTTCAATTTTTTTTTCAGGGACAGAAAGGATTTTTGATTTATCAGCTAGAAAGGTATGCATAAGCATGTCACCTATATCTTTCTAGTCGGTTTTCCTTCCAACTCTTGAGAGAGGGAGAAACTAGGAAAGAGAAGGCTTTATATCAGAAAAAAAAGCCATGGAATGACACACAAATGCCTTAGGAATTTATTTGTTTGAAAAAAAAATGCCTCCAGAGTGCCATCTTTCAGCATAGTAGTTGCTCAAAATTTGTTCACGTTTAACTTTTGAATAAAGAGGGAGACTTTTGAAAATAAAAATTGATTTTTTCAGGTGAACTTGAATATAATAACACTATCCACTTATATCTATCTGAAGAAAGCCCATACTTTGCCGCTGAATCCATGATTTCAACATGTAACAGGCAGTGTATTTGAACTACAAGGGCATATCTAATGAGGCAAACAAACCCTTTTGAGGTCTGATTATGCAGAAAGAAAGAGAAGGAGGTGACAAAGTTTTAACATCACTATTAGAAACAAAAGGCAGTTTGCTACTACTGGTGGGATAAATGCTGATCAAGTTAATTTGTGTGGATCATATTGCTGAAAAAAAAAAGATAACTGGACCAAGTATAGAAAAAAAATCCTTGGCATAGACTAGGGACTCATTTTCAGTATTCCTTTAAAAAAAGTTTATAAACATATTTGCATATTGAAGAATTATTGTATTCCCAAACTTAATTTGAGAGTGCCATTTGGAAATGAGCTGTGTCCTAACCAATAGAATTGATCTAAGAATCAATTTTGCAGGCATAAACAGAAAATGTGCATGTGCAGAACTTTGCATGGCTCCTTTGGAAAATACTTAGCTTAATGGAATTTCCAAAATAGATAATTGCAATTCAAGATCCATGATGTCAACTTTGGGTTCCAAGGAATTATTTTAAACTGCACATAGTTTTCACATTTCTAAGAACTAAGAACTGGAACTTATTATAAACCATTCCAGCAGCTCTTATGTTTTTTCACTCTCTGCAAAAGATTACATGAATGGATATTTCAATGTAAAGCATCGTACTAATAATAGGGAAAGTATGCACTCCATTCAAGCAGGTATAGTGGGCAAGTGACCAAGTGGGCAGCACAAAGAACTCTTTGGCAATAACAAAGTGCTGTTCTCCAAGGGACATCAAATTCCCCACTGCCCTACAAATCACTGCCAAGCAGTGTTTTCTGTTGCTATCGATTGATGTTCTGAGTTCCTAATCTGGATGTTACATCTCTGAGAAGGGTCTGGATAAATTTGTAGGGAGTTCACAGCTGCTTTGAGGAGACACTGGGTTTGTTCCTAGTAGAGAGGACACTCAGAAGATTTTGGAATGAACCTTTCAAGCATCCTGGAACACTGAGAAGTTCACAAAGGAATGCTTACAACCCCAAGCTTAACCTCATAGACCCACAGGTCTATAGATTTAGAGATGGAAAGGAACACAGACAGCATCTAGCTAACTTCCCCCACTTTACAGATGAGGAAAGTGAGTCCCAGAGAAGATAGGCCATACAGTTAGCATGTATCAGAAATAGAATTTGAACTCAATTACTCTGACTCTAAATTCATCATTTTTTCCATTGTGCCACACTGCTTCTGTGACACCGATGATGAAGAGCGTGGCCTAGACAAATCTATTTTTCAACCCACACATTGGGAAAGAGTCTTGATCTTCCAAGAACCTCTCTGTGGTCCAGATATATGGACCCTTGTCCATTAATGGTCCAAGCACAGATTCTAAGTTATCAACTTTCCCTCTCCCTGCCATAGTTGGGGTTGTTTCTAGTTCCCATGGCAGCATATCTTAAAGGTAAGCCCTGAGAGATAATGAAATGGGTATCTCTTCAATACCTGCAGGCTGAAATCATTCTATGGGAATATCACGTTCTCACCATGATGCCATTGTGGATGAATCCTCGTCTGTATCGTGCAGGTTTAAGATGTGGATACTCTTCTGTGCTTGTGACCTGGATACCCCAGACTTTTTTCCAAGCTTCATAAAGTTGTATATGGACTGGGTAGACCCCTGAATGGTGTGGGGCCACTGCATAGCCCATGTTGATAGGAATTCCATGCTCCTAAAACAAATTCAAAGGGACACGCTTGAGCTTGGTCAAATACATTGACTTTCTGTGAGCCAAGAACAACATAATAACAACATTTACATAGCACTTTAATATTTCCAGAGCCCTTTCTTCATAATGAGGTGGGTAATGAGGTTCTTATGTTTAATTTACAGATAAGGGAACCTGAGATTTTGGGATCTTGATCAAGTCAACAAGGATTTATTAAATACCTAATATGTGCCAGACGCTGTTGGGGATTGCCCAGTTAAAAAAAAAGTGTGTGTGTGTGTGTGTGTGTGTGTGTGTGTGTGTGTGTGTGTGCATTAACAGTACCTGTTCTGAAGGAGTTCAAAGTCTAAAAAAGGGAAACAACATAAAACAACTGTATAAACAAAATATTTGAAGGACAAATTGGAGATAGTCTCAGATGGAAGGCGTTATTAATGAGGTAAGCAAAGATTTCTCATAGCAGATGAGATTTTTGTTGGGGCTTGAAGGAAGCCAGAGAAGCCAAGAAATTGAGATGAAGAGGTAGAGAATTCCAGGAATGAGGGATAACCAGTGAAAGTGCAATCAGGACATAGAATGTGTTGTGTGCAGAACAGCAAGGAGGACAGTGTCACTGGATTTACAGAGTACATGGAGTTGTAAGAAGACTAGAAAGACAGGTGAGTGACTTCCTCATGCTCACCTACCTAATGAACGTCTGAGTATCTGATAGAGAGTTTAAATCTAGGTCGCCTGAGTACAAATTCCATCCTCCAGTTACTTTGCCACTAAAAGTAACTAACCTCAGCTGTTCAGTTAACTCTAAAGGAAAACAAGTAGACATGAAGCCAAACTATTTGGAACTCGAGGGTGAAAGAGGAGGCAATTTTATTAGGTCCATGAAATGGATTTGGAGCTTTCAAATTTCTGCTTCTTTCTATGACTTGCCTTAAATGGGATATCTGGTTTATATAATTTCCTTGCTGGAATGGGATTCATCAATTGAGATTACGGATGATGGTGCTCAGTCATCTCAGAAAGCTCATTGGATCAATAAACAGAAAACTAAACATGATAACTTGGCAATTGCCATCCCTATGTGCAATTATGCTCTATAAAGCCCAGGAAGGGAATTCAAGTTGATATAATATGCAAGCAGCATATGTCACCACATATCCACAAAATCTAAGTAATATGCACACTTAAGCTCAGAAAATAGACCCTCAATATCTCACATGGCATCATTATTCTTCTTCCTTTTGAGTGTCCCTCACTCTCTAGCCCAACTCACCTCTCTTTTATGGACTATGTGGTTTTTGACACCTATTACTATAAATAACTCTGTAGAGGGACTGAATGATGAAATCAATGTTATAAAATGAGCTTAATTCTCCCCTGTGCATTCAAGGAGATGAACTTCTCTGTGTATAAGGGAAAAGTGTTTCATACCAAAACTTTGATAGTTACTCAAAGTAAACTGTAGTAATTCTAGTAATACTAGATTATTCAGCAGCTACCAGAGGTGATTATTAGCTAATTCTTTTCCGTACCTTGGGACATAACATAAACCCACATGTACTACATAAAATAAATGACACAGAGGATCTGAGATCTAGAGTTTGAAGTGACCTCCGATGTTAAAGTGCCAGTCATCTCCACTGGCAAATGCTTGAGTATCTTCCACAATATTTTTACCCTATCAATTTGCCATCTAGCTTCAGAACTGCTCTCAGAGGTTGGAATATCTCTAACTACTGGCATATATGTAACCTCTAAGATATGTATGAAAAGGTGGCATCTCACAGAATAGGAGGCTGTTCTTTTACTGTGTACCAGGAATGTGGGGAGGCATGGTCTCTGCTGTCTGAAAAATGGTGCTGCTAGAAAAGTTGGATTTTTATATTTTTAAAAAATTGTGTCTATGTATGTTATCCAGACTAGATTTAATTGATATGCATGTTTCTAAACAACATACACACACACGCACACATGCATATATATACACAATGCACACAACGTGCATATACACATGTGAACATGTACATGTATACATATATGTATATTTATACATGCATAGATGTATACAAACACACATGAATAAAAATACAGACACAGAGAGGCACATTTATATTGACCTGACTGCTCATCGTTTTAGGCACTCTGCCTCTCACCTCTCTGAGTCTTCCTCATTTTTGGAATGTCTAGTTTTCTTCAGGGCTCAGCTCCAATGCTACCGTCGACGTGAAGTCCATTCCCCAGACCTGCCTCAGTTATTTTCTTTCTATTTTTTAGTTTATCTTATATTTACATGTATTTATCCATGTTGTCTCCCTCAGTTAGATTGCAAGGTTCTTAAAGGCAGGAACTGTTTCACTTAAACAAACTAGGCACTTAAAAACAATGTTCTTTGAGTATGTAGGTAACTTCAGTGTAGAAACTCCTTCTATCAACGCAGCTTGATGACACTTTTGTAACAATCTTAGGAGGTTGCCTGATTCAGAGATTAAGTGGCTTGTCTGTGGTGTCATAGCTAGTATGAATCAAAGTGAGAACTGAATTCAGGTCTCCCTGATTCCAAATATGATGGCCTCTTTACACTATGCCTTTTGACCTCTTGTTGGGGGACAAATTCTTTTGTTTCCTTGTAACCCTACGGAGGCCTTGCCTCTAAGGAGTTGGTTTTGATTATTGTTTGTCCTTCATTCTCCAACAGGACCAATGACCTCATGAGAGTGAAGTCTTGTATAAATAGCTTTTATGATTTTAAGAATTAAAAACTTAAATATAATATGAAAAGTATTTTTAAAATTCCACATCATCTATTATAGTGATTTTTTTTTCTGAGCACCTCAGTTTTGATTAATCATTTCCTATTGTGCCTCAAATCCGAGGCCTAGTTAAGTTCAGAAAGTAAAAGCAGCTCCCGACATGAGAAGATATAAAATAGATTTGTGGAAGGAAGGGAGCTATCCAGCCACTGTATCTCTTCAAGAAAAAAAAGACATTTCTCTTTTGACAGGTGATAAAATGAATTGTAGAACCTTCATGAAAAACCAGGTAGTTTAAAAATAAAAGTAATTGATTTGGTGAGAAGAGAGGGAGAGGCAGTTAAAAAAAGTTTTATTATATTTATTGATTTCTACGGCCTTAAGGCTTTGATGCACATAAGGTCATTTGATGACAGCAGCAACTAGTGCTCAAGCACAATGGTAAATCACATTAGATAATTATCACTTCCCACTTTTTTCACCTATATTGTATCATAAAGTAGAAAGGGATCCTTTTGGTTCTCTTTTTTTTTTTTACACACTTACCATGAGGGTTAGTTAAGAGTATTAGAACCCTTTAGGCACCCACTGATCAGGACTTAAAATCAGTGGCTACCATCGAAGACAAAAGTGTGTCATTATTTTGAAAGTTCCACTGAACTACGCCTATTGTGGTGCCTGGAAAACAATAGCTGCTTATTATTACTTGTAAGGGCATCTTGGTGGTGTAGTGGATAAAGCCTAGGGTAAGGACGACTCATCTTACTGAGTTTAAATCCATCCTCAGATACTTCCTGACCGTATAACCCTAGGCAAATCACTTAACTCGGTTTGCCTCAATTTCTTCATCTGTAAAATGGGCTGGTGAAAGAAATGGAAAATCACTCTGGTATCTTTGCCAAGAAAACCCAAATACGGTTATGAAGAGTCAGACATGACTGAAAAACAACTGAACAGCAACAAAATACTTGTAGGTTAAGAAGCACCCAAAGTTGACTGGCATCAATAAGGTTTGCCAGGTGGTAAAAAGGAGTTCAGAATGTCCTCCTATTGATCTTTGCTACCATTTAACCAGATAAACAACAAAAGGAAATGCCAGAGAGAAGGAGAGAGAGAGAGGGAGAGAAAGGAAGGAGAGAGAGAGAGGGAGAGAGAGGGAGGGAGGAAGAGAGAGGAAGGAGAGAGGAAGGAGAGAGAGAGAGAGAAAGAGGGGGGGAGAGAGAAAGAGGGAAAGTGAGAGAGGGAGGGAGAGAGAGGGGGGAGAGAGAAAGAGGGAAAGTGAGAGAGGGGGAGGGAGAGAGAGAGAGAGAGAGAGAGAGAGAGAGAGAGAGAGAGAGAGAGAGAGAGAGAGAGAGAGAGAGAGAAAACTATGCATACTGAAGAACTAACAGGCTTTTGAAAGTAAAAGAGCTGACTTTGGATATACCAGAAAACCACACCATAAGGAACCAATCCACCTTCCCCTGCCCTAGTACAAAGCAAAAAAGGCCTAGGAACAAAACACAAATTTTGTTCAGCATTGATTGTCACAACCAATCCCTATTTCCCTAGTGCCTATCCATTAATGGCTTTAGGATATCTGAGATATTAAACAATTCCATTCCTCTTTTAACAAAATCCTGTGTCATTCCCCCCCCCCCCAATTAGAGCTGGCATTCTTAACCTTTCTTGTGCCATGGACAATGTTGACAGTGTATTGACTCAAAATGGACCCCTTCACAGGATAATGTTTCTAACTGCGTAAGACATAATATACAGGATTACAAATGACTGCTATCATATTGGACTATAATTTTCAAAGTATTAAAAAAAACTTTATAGACTCCATGTTAAGAACCCCTGAATTAGAGTAAATTCTGGTATATACCAATTAATTGAAGAAGAAGGTATTCTATAATAATGATGATGATAACAATAACAAGTAATATTTATTAAGTAATATTTATTAAGGTTTGTGAAGGTCTTTATACGTGTTTTCTCATTTGATCCTCAGAGTAATCCTGCACTAATAGTAAAATAGATACTATTATCCCCATTTTATAAAGGAGTTATTTTGTTGTTGTTGAATTATTTCAGTCATATCCAACTCTTTGTGACCCCATTTGGGGTTTTCTTGGCAAAGATATTGGAGTGGTTTGCCAGTTCATTTTACAGATGAGAAAACTGAGGTAAACAGGGTTAAGTGACCTGCCCAGCATCACTCAGCTAGTAATCATCTATAGCATCATTTCAACCTGGGTCTTCCTCTACTTACAG